AGTCGCTTGCTTTCAGTTTCCTTTTCAAAAATATATTTTTGTATTATTTCCTGCTGCTGGGATGTTTTTCTTCTTTTTTAACCCAACGATGAAACGTGACTTGAGAAGAACATGGAGTGAGGACCCAGAGCTCCAGCAATCTTCATCTTCTGCAGGCTGGAGTAAGCTTCGGAAAATTGGGGAAAAAATGAAAATAAAAAGGTTTAAACACCAGGAAATGGCTCCAGCGTATTGATGATGTGGAAATTTTCCAGAATTTTAGGAAAATGTGTCAGCTTGAAAGAAAAACGTGAACAAAAATAAACCATAACCATTTTTAAGCTAATTTAAACCAATTTGAGAGGGGGAGCAGAGCAGCCCCCTCAAACGCTGCATTATGATGGCTCATTTCCTACCACAACAATTTTTTTTCTACCACAATTTTTTTTTTTTTTTAAACTAGTAAAACCAACGAAGAAAGTCCAGGGTTTGTCTATATTTCAGAAATATCGTAACAGTTTGCTGGGGGAGTCACGTAGCACTGCTGCGCCTCCAACATCCTCAAGCTTGAGCCGGGTTTAGCGATGCGACCTCAAAGCTCCAGCGCTCTCATGATGCTCGGAGCTGGGGGGGGACCCTCTTTGTGCAGGAAAAAATGTCTCATATTTAAAAATGAGATTTCCCTCCTGCTCCCCAATTGCTTGTTCAGAAAGACATGTGTCCTTGTGATGCTTTGGTGGGGTTGAGCCAAGCTTGAAGGAAAATCGAAAATTTCCAAGCTGGGGCCAAAAATAAAATAAAAATGGTGGGGGAGGGCGGGAAACTGGGCGAGCTCTTTGCATGGCTGTGGTCCCAGTTGGTTGTTCTGGACTGGATGATGAAGATAGGCTGAATCTTCCCGCCCATAGACTTAGGACAGGATTTTAAGCCCAGCCTAGGAGGCTTTGGAGTTCCATCACCCAAATTAGCGCCTCTCAATGATCACCCATCCCTGCGTGGATGAGATGCAGGTGAAGGTGGTGGTACCTCTCTTGGTGGCTTCTCTGATGGTGAGGGGGTCCCTCAGAAGGATTTGTTGTGCCTGGAGACCCCTCGTGCCCTACACCATCACTCCAGGAACATTTCCTGAATCCTTGCTACAATAATTCTTCTTTAACTGATGTTCCTTGGGGCTTTAGATTTCTGGAAGAGATTTCCCTTTGCTCTTCTCCACCTCTGGCCTGTTTTTTTTTTTTTTGTTTTGTTTTTTTTTTTTTTTTAATAAAAGTTGATGAAATGGAGTCTGGCCATCCATACTGACATTTTTTTTCCCTCTTAGCCCCCCCCTGCTGCCTGCATGCCCCCTCCAAGGTGGCAGCAGGAGGCATCACCTCCAGCTTTGCCTCCAAGCTTCTTGGCTCCCAATATCCTTCCCTGTTCCTTGACCACGGAGCTGTGCTGTCTTGTGCTTCCAAACTGAGGTGTTCCCCTCCTTCCTGCACCCCAGTTTTCCCCCTGAGCTCCCCACCACAACACCAAGGAAACTCCGTCATCAGGATTTTCACGTCGGGGAGGAACTTATCTCCTGGGTTGGAGGCGTTGGCTTGGAAGGCTTGAGATGCTGTGGGGTTGAGCCTGGGATGGATGTTGGGGGGCTGCTGATGCCAAGACCCCATTGTCAGCTCATCCACTGTCCCCCCAAGATTCTTGTCTCCTGGGTGAAGTTTTCAGCCCAATTCCTCCTGCCCCACAGGATGTGGGGTGCAGAGGATCAGACATGACCACCCCTTGGGCTTGAGTATGGGCTCAGCCGTCCTCAGCTCGGCATTTTTTCAGGCTACATCTACCAGGGCAGTGCCAGCAGGGAGGAGAAACCCTTGGATCACCAGGCACATGGGATGTCACCTTCCTCCCAGTACACGCTGTCCCACCAACCAGGATGAAACGAGTTCTCCCAGTTGGCTTCTGAAAATTAGCTCGAAGACAGAGAGATGACATCAACCACCGATTTCTGAACAAATTCTTCTCCCAGTTGGCTTCTGAAAATTAGCTCAAAGACAGAGAGATGACATCAACCACCAATTTCTGAACAAATTATTTATAAATCACGTCTCACGGATGCTCTGCCAACGGGCTGGTGACCGCAACTGCCCTTGGCTGGTGAGCTTGGGTAGGACTGGAGGGATGCAGAACCTGGAGAACATCACTGAGTTTGGAGCTGTCAAATTGTCCTCCTGGGCTGCAGGGATGGACCCAGCGATGGAGACGTTGCTCTCTGCAAGTAGGATGGACATCGGTGGGGGTTAAACCCACCTGGTGGTGGGAAATTCAACTGGTTTTCATCCCAGTAGGGAGAAAGGGGCTGAGTGAGAGAGCAGAGTGATGGTGGCATGTCCGTAAACGGCCAGACCCCCAGCTGGGATCATGGGGGGTGATGTGGGTCATGCTCCACTCAAGGCAAAGTGACGTGGGGACACTGGGGAGCCCAGGGGAGGAAGTTAGAGGACAATGGGGATGGAGATGTCATTGGGTTGGGTGGTCTCGCTGATGCAGTGGCTCCATCGCTTCAGGATGAGGGTGATGATGGGGATGGACATCAGGAGGAGCAGAGTGAGGGCAGAACGCAGGATCCAGACCCAGAGAGGCATGGTGGGCCCTGGAAGAGAAGGAGGGTCACAACCTGGACAAGTCCTGGAGGATGGCCATGGTGGGAAGGACCACGAGCAGGCGCTTACCTCTTGATGGACGCGTTATCTTGCTGCCTGTCAGAGAAATGAAGACCTCATGAGTCTCACTGGCCTGCTCTGGGACCATCCCAAATGCTGAGCAGACCCCCTCAAGCTCATGTCTTCATCAGCCTCTTGAGGAACCACCCAACTCGTGTAAATCTTGTAGAATGGTTTGGGTTGGAAGGGACCTTCAAGATCATTGAGTTCCCCCTCCGCTGCCATGGGGCAGGGACACCTCCCACTAGCCCAGGTTGCTCAAAGCCTCATCCAGCCTGGCCTTGAACCCCTCCAGGGATGGGGCATCTCCCCACTTTCCCTGTAGTGGGCTCATAAAGGTAGAGGGGAGACCTTGGAGCATCCAGAAGGACCTCGACAGGCTGGAGGGCTGGGACTGTGCAAAGCTCATGAAGATCAACAAGGCCAAGTGCAAGGTCCTGCACCATACACCAGCTGGAAAGTACAGCGAAGATTGCACATACATGAATTTAAAAATCTGTATCTTTCATATTATCTACAGAATAAATTTATCCCTGAGCTATACGTAATTAATTAAGATTATTAATTAATTAATTATGTCATGGTGTATATAAAAATTCATCTTGGTACGTACTTACCAGATAAACACGTAGCAAGTCCATATTTTTGACCCCAAAAAGAACAAATAAATTTGCTTCTGTTTCAGGATCAGCTCGTTGCAGTCCTCGAACCAACCCCATCCATCACAACCGTTTCAGCAAACTCTCTTTGGAGCAACCTAGCAAATAACAATTCGCATTTCAGCGACTCATCTCTTTCATAAAGGTCGCTAGCAGGCAGCAATCTGATTCAAATTCCTCATCATAGATCAGATTTTGGGTATTAGCTGCTCTTAAGGAAGCAGACTGGTTTATTCACTACATGAAGGCAGTAAAGACAAGAAACTTAAATTCTCTTTAATTTTTTTAAAAAATATCTTTAATCTTTCTATGATTTCATGATTCTATGATTAACAAGTTAATTCAATCGGCACCCAAAAATGACAGCGACGTCCTCCCACTGATCCAGACAAGACAGAATCCTTTTTAATTCCAAACCAGAATCATTTTCTGGGGGCTGTAAATAACAAACCACTGGCTCGATGTTAATGTTAAAAAACCTAATCATGCTCAGCTCTGCTTCAGCCAGACTTTAATTCCTTACCTGGATAGCAAGCTCCAAAGGATCCATTTTAAATTCAGCGTGGATTCTGAAAGTGAGGAGGAACCTTTGGCTGGTATCACCCGAACACACGTACTTTCTTTTTCCATAGCTATAGAGGGGACAGACGTCGTTAATTTCCTCGTTAAAGCTGGCAAGTATTGAAAACTGAACTTTCACCACAAGCAATTTTTTTGCCCTTGGTGCTATATTCCAGCCAACACCTGCAGGTACCTCTAGTAGGAGATAGCCAAAGGTTGGAGTTGCCTCCACACCTAGATCCAAATTTTTGCAGGAGGATTATATTTCAAACCCTTTTGTACCCGTGCAGCGCAACTCCTCGTCTAGTATGTCTAATCGATACGTCGAATTTCCAACAATTAAATAAAACTGAGAAAACAGCACGAATGGCAGGTGGAGAAACCAAAACGGGGCGTTGCATGAGCCCACCACCCATTAGGATGATTTAAAGATAGAAGTAGGAATACTCAAGGCAGAGAGCACGCAGGAAACTGTAGAAATTGCACATTTTAGAGATTTAAAGTGCAGGACCTTGTGATTTCTTTACACCAGATTTTTTTTTTTTAATTTATATATTTTTTTAAAATTTCTGTAATAGAGAGGAAGTTGAGATCTGTAGTGAGCAGGGAAATAACGTGATTTACAAGACTCAGACCCTTCATAGAGAAAAAGACTAATGAACATCTAAATGGGACTCAATTCCCCTTCATTTAAAGGTGGGATGGATTCTGCAGTGTTGTAGGCATGGAGCCACACCTAGACTTAAAACTCTTGAGGTTTTTTTTTTATGGATTCCAGGCAGGATCGATTATGTTGTAGAGCTGCCTGTCCCTCCTTTGACTGTAGAAGGAGAATAAACATCCATCAGAGACCCAAAAACCTCGCCGTCAAACAGCCGAGGTCACAGCAGCTTCATTGCACCCGAGGAACCCAGGATGGTGATTTCTGTAATGGTCTATCATATCGTGAGATGAATCGTAACTTAAACTCCACCGTCTTTCACCATCAGGAAAATAAGTGTTTGCTTCACATGAAGATTATCTCTGAAGATGCAAGCACCTCTACCCACAGACCATCCCCATACATTAATGGAAAGCTAAATCAATCTCTCGACACATGGAGGTGGGCTCCTATTATCTAATCTTTGACCAAAACACAGAGTTTTATTATTATTTGCATTTATTCCCTCAAACAATACAATCCTCCAAAATACACCAAAAATGTTCTTAAAGTTCCATGTCCACCATCTCTACGCAATAGAGATGGGAACTTAGGAAGAGGTGCTGCTTTTACTGGATGTCCTGTAAAAAAATCTGTAAATAGTAATTTTTTTTTTTCCTGAAGAATAACTCCTCTGCTGCAGAAAAGAAAGTTCTGTCTTACTGCCTCGTTAACTGTTGTGCCCTCCAAAGGTCAACCCCGAAGGTGACCTGGATGCTGGGAACCCCCCGAGGGGTGGTCCAGGAGTGGACCAGAATGAACTGTATAAAAGGTGAGCTTGAACTGTACTCCGCCGACCATCACCACCTGGTCGACCCATCACCACCCGCTTGACCCATCACCATGCAGTCGACCCATCACCACGCGGTCAGCCCATCACCACCCGGTCGACCCATCACCACCCGCTCGACCCATCATCACGTGACCGACCCATCACCACATGGTCGACCCATCACCACATAGTCGACCCATCACCACCCGGTCGACCCATCACCACCCGGTCAACCCATCACCACGCGGTCGACTCATCATCACGTGACCGACCCATCACCACGCGCTTGACCCATCACCATGCGGTTGACCCATCACCACCCGCTTGACCCATCACCACCTGGTCAACCCATCACCACCCGGTCGACCCATCACCACCCGGTTGACGCATCACCACCTGGTCCAAACTTGAGTTTGCTTTGGGGATGTCTTATTCTGTTTGCAAATTTTTAGACTTGGTTTCAAAGAATTTGCAATAACAGAGCGGAGTAGAAATATTAGAGTTAGAAATAAACCAGTTAATTGTCTCAAAAAATAAAATCTATCATGATTTATGATATTGAAGCATTCCCATTATTTCAGTTTCAACTCATTCTCTGCTGTTCAGCTCAACAAATCCTAGCAGCGAGGCCAGACATTCCCACTTTACGTCTTCATGATTTTTTTTTTTTTCTGATCAACAAACAGACTAAAAACTTTCTGTTCCACAGGTTTGCTTTCGTAGATCACGTTTCTCCTTATCGCAATGTATCAGGAGAATCTGTTAATCTCCCTATTGGACGTGGAAAATGCAATCACAACCTTCACGGGTAATAAAGATACGAGGACAAAGGTTCACCACAACCGAATTCCACAGAGAAGTCTCAAGGTTCTTACAGTTCAGGTAAGAAAACAAACTTTTGCTAAGAAGAAAACCCATTGCATTTACTATGATATTTGAATTAAACCTGATTTAATCCATTGCACGGCCAGGAAGGAACCTGCCTGCTGTAGATTAATTTTTGCCATTTTCAGACAATTATTTTTTTGACAGCACTTGATTTTACCAGTGATTGGAGAGGTGAGAAAAAAAGCAGAGAAAAACGGTGGAAATCAGGATTAAATTATGTCTCTAATGAAGTTGTCTTGTGCTTTGAGTTATGCCTCTTTATTGTGAGCATGGATGAGGTCAGCAGGGAGCTGAAAGCAAAGATCTTGGGAGGAAGTTGGAGAGTTTCTCCCTAAAATGTTGATGTAAGTCAACGGGGAGATCAAGATAACAACATTGCTCCTCGAATTTACCCATGAGGTTGTTTGTGGTTTTGTTTTGTTTGGCTTTGTTTGATTTTTTGCCATAAAAAAAGGAAAAGGAAAAAAAAAAAGAATAGACTGCTAATATCAACAGACAAGATGAAATGCTTTAAAATCCAATATAAATAGAATCCAAATATAATATATATAATCCAAATTTAAAAAAAAATGCCAGTGAATGTAATAAGTTTCTGGAAGACCAAGGTAAATACGGACAGCTGAATAGAGGAGGCAAAGAGTTGGGGTTTTTTTGGGTTTTTTTTGTTTGTTTGTTTGTTTGCTTTCAGCATTTATATAGTTAAAATTGACAAGGAGATGAGGAAAGAAAAGATGTCCTGTGATCCTCTTTGCTTTTGACAGTGCCAAACCCATTTTTTGTTTTTGTTTTTTTTTTCCTATTTTTTCCCTTTTTCTACTTTTCCCTAATTTTCTATCTTTCCCTTTGGCAAAGAGTTGGGGTTTTTTTGGGTTTTTTTTGTTTGTTTGTTTGTTTGCTTTCAGCATTTATATAGTTAAAATTGACAAGGAGATGAGGAAAGAAAAGATGTCCTGTGATCCTCTTTGCTTTTGACAGTGCCAAACCCATTTTTTTCTTTTTTCTATTTTTTTCCTTTTTCTACTTTTCCCTAATTTTCTATTTTTCCCTTTTTTTTTACTCTCTGCAATCACACTTGTTATTTTGCATCGACCATGTGAAGAGACTGAAGGAGTCACACAGGAATTTCATCTGGAAGCTTTGATTTTGGCCCTGTGGATGATCAGGAAGCCTGGTTATTGATGGGTTCCCCCATTTGGTGGCTGACAGCTATTCACGTCCTGACATTTCAACGCAGGTCATGCCTGGTTACAGGTAAAGATGGTTCCATTCTGAATATATTTTAATGAAATAATTGCTTTCTGCCTAGAAAAATATGAAAGTAAAAAATAACGAGTACATTTCTTTCTTATTTTTAACTTGGATAATATAAATTAAAACACCAAATAAGACGTGTCGTGTTTGTCAGTCCTGTGTCTAGAGTACCTCAGGGCGTCAAAGATCGTGGAAACACAGAACAATTTGGGTTGGAAGGGACCTTCAAGATCATCCAGTTCCACCCCCCTGCCATGGGCAGGGCCACCCCCCACTAGCCCAGGTTGCCCAAAGCCTCATCCAGCCTGGCCTTGAACCCCTCCAGGGATGGGGCGATGGATGGATGGATGGATGGATGGATGGATGGATGTTCAAGGAAATCTGTCCTACCCAATGCTTGCTGTAGAACAAACTGAGCAGACTGTTGGCTGGATCTCCATTGACTGTGGTAGGAACATGGTCAAGTCAGGGATTGAACTGGAAGTGGCAGGTCGGCGGCAAGTCAGTCTCTCGGTTTGTTCACGGATGAAAGTTTTGCTTTTTGTCCTCTTGATGATTCAGAAGAAAACATCTGGTTTTAGGTTCCTGGGTTTCTAATAATTTGTGATGACAACCGAGACTGCAGCAGAAGTATTAGAGTTAGAAATAAACAATTCTCTCTCAAAAAAAAAAATCTATCATGATTTCTGGACCTTAATCCCACACCCTGTGAGTTATTCAGGCGCCAAAACCCGGATGCCCGGTGCCATTGTAAATGTTTTAGTGGATCTGAGATTTTTTATTAAATGGAGCTGGCAGATGTGATAGAAGATCAGCGACGATTGGGGCCTTTTGGGCTTCGTCAGGTGAAACACCACGCAGCACATGGAGTGATATGAAATGTTTATGAAGATATTGGAAATAATTTCTCAGTGTTTCATGGTAGATTTTTTAACTTGCCATAGAATAAAGTCAAGTTCTGTGATGCAACTTCTTCGCAAATCCACATTGGTTGCTATTTGGTTATTTCCAAGAGCTTTTTTTTTTTCATTCTGGTATCCTCCTTGGAACTTGGAGAACAAGTGCTACAAAAAGTCCTAGTTTTCTCTTTTCCTCCCTTTCAAAGATCTATCTCATGGGTGAGATTTGTCGAATTTATCTTTAGAAACCTAAAAGCTGCACATCTGACTTCAGTGTAGTCACCCCTCGACTTCACCATTCAAAGAAAAGATCTCTGAAGCTTCCTCCTTCTCCTCATTCATTGCAAAGGGAACCTAGGATATCTAGTTCAGATGTAGATGAAAAAAATCATTATATATATGATCCAGGTGCCAACACATAAATGTCTAGTGTCCTTCCAGGCACTGCTGGATTCTGCTCTGTTCTCCAGCTGCTCCATCACAGATCATACGTCGCATCTACCAGCGCCATAGGGACGTCTTGCATATCCTACCCTATGACATTTCAAATGATATTTGATACCGATGTTTGGAAAATTCAATCCCACCTTTACTTTTTTTGATATATAGATCCTGAATCCTTGTATTTGACCTTTTACAGACTTCTCAGTGTTGACCCATTTTCCATGATTCCATCGCTTCATGGCTCGAGTTTGTGTTCAGAGTACTGAAGGACAAATTCCATAAGCCTCATGTAACATGAACGTTACTCATCTAAGTGATCTGCCACGTTATTTTTTAGTTTTCTTCTGGATTCCTCGCCTGTTGACGGTGATATTGGTTCTACTGGTTATTTGTTGTAGTGCCACGAAAAACACAATATGGACAAAGAGAAACAACTGCTATCTTATCTTCACACAGGTCAATTTATGAGCTCTCCTCCTAATAGTTCCATCACTGGAGTCATTGGAGAAGGGGTCATTCTGCCCTGCCACGTGGTAGCGGAAAACATTCCCGAGGAATTCTCTGTCCAGTGGATATTTCATGAACAGTCTCAAAAAATAACTGTGAGTGGATATGACGGAAAGAATAAAAAGGAGAAACAAAATGAGAGATATCAAGGCAGAACAGAATTCTTCCACGGTGAATTTAGAGCTGGCAACATGTCTCTGCGCTTGAAGAACGTCAGGAGCTCCGACAAAGGATTGTACTCTTGTGTGGTCTCCTTCAACGATACGTATCATGATGTGTTGATTGAACTGCAAGTGGCAGGTCAGTGGCGATCCTCTTTTTATTCATAGAGCTGAACAGGAACATGGGCATCCATCACCAAGTGGGGGAATTATAACGTAAATTTAATACGATTTGACACATAAAATATCTTCATGGGGGAATGTGTTTGATTGGAGTCAGTTTTCTTGAAATTGATGGTTATAACCAATATTTGAGGTAAGTTTTAGTTCAAGTTTTGTTTTTTTTTTACAAAATTCTGGGAAATTCCACTGGCAACTTCATTCCAGAATAGCCATCCCCAGCTAGGTCTGTTTGCTGTCATCTCGATTAAATTGTTCCTCGTTCTTCGTTTGATCGACGCAGAATTAAGAAACTTCAGGGTCTAAGCCTCTGTCACAGTTTAAATTCAGAAAATTCAGAAAATTCTGAAATTCAGTTTAAATTCAGATTCGTTCTATGGACTTCCCTACAAATACATAAATAATATCTACAATACATGTATAGAATATATACAATATATAAAAAGAGAAGTGTTGAATTCAAGATAAACTAGACAATTTCCAGTTCTCAATAATAGCTAAAATGGAGAATTCATGTTTTTTCTCAGCTAAAGGTGACGCGCCTTCCATTTTCCTGAGGAGTCACATGAAGCAGGGCATCGACCTCACCTGCCAAGCGTCAGGATGGTTTCCTAAACCTGAAGTGATTTGGTTGGATGGCCAAGGACAAGCCCAGAAGGAAGCATCCACCACCAAGATGACGATGATGCCTGCAGGTCTCTACAATGTCGTAACTTCCATGAACCTAAAATCGGGCTCTGACGCGGAAGTCTCCTGCAGGATAGTCAGCAATCTGCTAAACACAACGAGCGAGTCGCGAGTCCTGATCTCAGGTGGGTGAGCTCCGTAGTCAGAGCTTAAGTCAGAGCTTAAGTCAACGCTTAAGTCAACGCTTAAGTCAAAGCTTACCTGTTTTCAAGATCTGTCTCAATGGTGTGGGTCCCACAAACTGGTCTGAAGACGTATCAATGTTGTATCAGGCCAGAATCAATGTTGGAAAAAAATTCACGAGATCTACAGTCTTCTTCTCCCTTTATTTCCTGTTGACTGCATGGCCTTGGACAGTACCCAATAAATGAGGTTTTCCTCTTAAAAAGGGGTCAGGCAGCATCAAGACTTTTGGTCTTCCCTCCCTTAAAGGTGGTCAGCTTGTTGGAGCTGAATTAAAATGGATTAAGAATACAATTGCATGCACATACAAAAATTACATATTTCTTTTTGTTATCCAAAAAACATCTTACAAGGACATTTCATATGATACGTGCTCGTGGATTTCACAGAGCACAGCTGAAAGCAATAGTTACGGTCACAAGAGTTCAAGTGATGTTTTCAACATCTCATAAATGGTTTTAGACTATGTTTTTATCTTCCCTCTTTTTAAGACGCGCATTACTGTGTAATCGTGGTGCGGATAATGTCATTTTCCCCCCGTTCTCTGTAGGACTTCACACATTTATCTTTGCTGAGTATATAGACAAGCATCAGGTAAGTCTGAAGCAAAACCCGTAGGGCTGGACCCAAAAAAGAACTTCAGCACCACAAAATCAATGTCTAGGTCTGGAATGGGAACTCGAGTGCAGTGTAAAGCTCTTGAAGAAGTGTATGAGGGATGTCCCTTTTGGATTGGCACCAAGAAATTCCCAGAACAGAATCATTGAATCATGAAGGCTGGGAAAAGACGTCAAGGATCATCAAGTCCAACCCTCTCCCCCGAGCCAGGAGCGTTGCAGGGGGTTGTTGTGACCAAAGTGCAGGACCCGGCACTTGGCTTTATTGAACCTCAGACAATTAATTGAACAGTGAGTGTGGAGGCAACCTCAAAGAGAAAATAGGAAACTGTCAATGTGGAGAATGTCTTAAATCTTATTCTCCTTCTTGGCTTACGCACTATACTCATCAGGATGAATCCGCTAATCATTGAATGAAATGAAACAAGAGTGAACGTGTCTCTTGTCTGGTGGTGATGGATTCTTCCTTCATTCCACCACCTGCTCAGTTGAGGATGATATGCAAACCTGTCTGCCTCTCTGTCTTGGTGTCGACTGGGACAGAGTTAATTTTCTTCCCAGCAGCCGCAGTGAGGCTGTGTTGGGGTTTGTGCTGATCACACACTGATGGGCAGAGCTGCTGCCAGGACACTCAAGAACTTTCCAGCTTCTCTGCTGGGCCCGTGTCTGCAGGGGCAGGAGGAGCTGGGAGGGAGCACAGCCCCAGTGACCAGCCCAGGATTCGACCTCGGGTTTAGGATTGAGACCCAAACTGGCCAGTGGTCTATTATCCGGCCCGTCATGCCCGGTATATAGATGAGGCTCTGTCCAGAGGTTCTCTCTCTCCGAGTCACCCCTCTCTTGTGGTCATCTCACTCTTTCAGTCAGCTCTTGGTCTCTCAGATGCTCAGGCTTTTCTTTTTTTCTGGGATTGTGGTTTCGGGACTCTCCCTGCTCTGGGATTATTGGCTGGGAACAGGCTGAGCCTTGGTCATCGAGGGGCGGGGGGGGGGGACCCGGTGT